ACGTATTTTGCCCTTTTACAAGTCTCCTTTTTCCGTTTATCTAATAAGAAATATTGGCTGAAGTGAATGTGTACATCTAAGAGCATTCAAAACAAAAAGGAGTATGATAATAGCACACATACTATTGAAGAAGTCTTTAACCATGAAAATGCTCAACGCAAAACGGTGCAAGACTAATTGTTTATTTCAGCAGCTCTGTAAACAAACCAAACTTTATAGTAACGGGAATTCTGACGCGCAGTTTCTGAACACGTTGTATTTTATGTTAAAATTAAACAAATATGCGGTTAACATATATCTCTACCCAATCCATATGTTTAGCTGAGACGACGTAGAAGGTAGGAAAATAGCCATGTCTTCTATTTGGGTCCGTTAAGATATATGTGAAAATTAGACGAATAAAAATGCAAATTAAATGATAACATTCAAATTAAATTCGCGCACAAACCAACGAATATCTCAAGCACCCACGTTATGCTGCCTAAATATATGTTTGACTATCTCGACAAGAAGGAAGTCGTCTAAAAATCCCATGCAAAGTTTGTCATGCCCTATATTGTGACCAAGTTGGCCTTCACGCGCATCCAGAAACATCAACTGATAGTTTTAGGTTGGACCATTTGTCGCAAATGGCTATGCAGAGTCTCGATATTGGACACAGCCCCGTATGGGAGAAAACCCACATCGCTGGGTTTGACCCTCTAGAAACTGCCGATAATTTATTTATGCTGTACACTACGTTGACTTATGTGTCAACCAGCAAATTAAGTTAGAAGCCGCATACAAAAATATGAAGAACAAGAAATGGAAGAGACTGGAGCCGATCGATAACTACTGATGCAAACGGCAGCCCCTAATCAGAGCTCCCATAAGATGGCTTTCGATTTTGCTCAGCACTTTTGACCTTTAACATTTTCCTTGGACATAGTATGAAGTGTGGAGACGACCTGAGTAAGCAGCGGTGGGATTTTACTGGATAAAGTTACCGTTATATCCAAATAATGAATTTCCCTCAAACATGAACACTATATCTACGAAATCATGCAACGATAATGTCAAATTTGACTGGCAATTTTAGCAATTTATTTGAAAATCCTAATTTTATCCACTTCGTAGATTCAATCTTGCGAAAGACTTTTATTTCGCAAAATTGCCTTTTAGTTCATTTTGGTAAGGGTAATGTGCTTTAATTTAGGCGAAATTGGTAGTAGTATCAAAACAAAGGAGCTTCGTGTGCTATTAAGTAGCCAAAACAGAACATTTAGTTAAAATGCATAATGTCATGGGAGGAACTCAAACATTAGGAAGAACAGTTTAAAACACACTCATTCCAGAATCAAACAATTTGGTCCGAATTTGCTAAAACGCAAGCAAATCTAACTTGGAGGAAGCGCATTCATTTCCCGAACAAGTTCGAATTCCTGTTTCAAAAAGTATTTGTTTGCTAAACTCTTAAGATTTTTTGCCACAATATGCAGTAAAAGATGTTCTGACCGCACTTATTGTTACCGTCTCAAGTGCTAGAAGGATCATGCCAAAGTAAGTCGTATGCTATGGCGATTGGTTAGGTAGTAGAATCGTCCCGAAATAATTCTTCATGATACATCACCAAAGAATCTAGAGAGGGATTAATCCCAGTTTGATGTACTTAGACAGCTGAACCAGTGTCATGATGATCAACCGGAAGTATCGGTTTGTCTACTGAAGTATTCTTAGCTGGATTAGAGTGCGTGCCATGCATGCTTGAGTTCGTCCGTGTTTTGGCAAACAAATTTGTTCAGTGTGGCCCATGTTCTTATAAAATCGATAAACCGTCTTTTGGTGTTTATAGTCTGACCAAAGGATATGGTGCTGACTACAACGGTAGCAGGTTGGTAGTTGTTTTGAAGGCACTATTGGTTCCAGGTTACATGCAAATCCGGTCGTATTGACTAAAAAGATAGCTATATCAGGTTCCAAGGGGGATATGACTCCAGTATTTGATTGTCGCAGCTGCTGGAGGTCTTGCTGTACTCCCTCTAGACAACGAACGTTATCACAGGCTTTCTCCCATGATAAATATTCCTTCACGGATAAAATATTCTCGCGATCCGTTTCATCCCGCAAGCCCACAAGCAGCTGCTGCACCAGTATTGTCTGCTCGAATTCGGTTGCCGCGATCTCTGTGTATCGATAATCCTGAACAGTGACAGTAAGTTTGGCAATAAAATCAATAATGTATTGGTTGGATTCCTGAAGCATCTGGCAAAACCGATAGCGGCTCAGGAGATGTTGCTTTTTCCACCCACATTGTTTCAAGCTTTGTGAATGCTGTTGGGAGATCAGCAGACTCTTGTAACTTAAGGAGTTTGAAGTAATGGTATCCCAGCTCTCCGAGATGGGTCCGGAGTAGTTTCGACATCGAGGTAACGTCTTATGTAATTGTAGGCGATAACATCTGAATAAGCTGAATATATTCCTCAAAGGTCCTTTTTCATTGTAACCATGAATCATGCGAGAGTTTCCGAGCGCCCTTCGGCCTGAAAGGGGACAGTGTGTGTAATAATGTAGCCATGTTCCTTAAGCTGCGTCGCCAATGCTATGTATTCAAAACAGAACGCACTTTGTAGAAAGAATGTTGTATAGACAAAACAGAAGGTTGTCTGTAAGGAGGAAGTGTGCTCAGGATTAAGGAACAGTTTCTTATTTGTGTCATGTTATCTAAGGGAGCGTTATCTTGGGAC